ATTTGTTGCTAATAAAATTATACTGGACTGTCGTTTACTATTATACGTGTTCAAATGTTTGCAATGTGGTGTTCTGTCGAATAATGTTTTTCAACTACCCTTGTGAAGTGCGTATCTAAATAATTAAAGAGAATTTTATATGAATCATGCACTTGTAGGTAGCATAATCCAGACGTGAGCGTCTACCGTCGCAAAATAGGCACAAAGACTTACCATGTGTAAAATGGCTAAATGCGCTCTAAATATAACAAATTATTTAAACAAATCCATCGCAACATGCTACCAGACTTCCTTCGTTCCGCTTAAGATAAGTACACTCACTTTTACACATTTTTAAGTCACGTGGCTTATAAGAATGGTTGTTGAAGGATATCCCACGAAGACTAGGCATGTAAAATTTATCAGTACTGATAAAAATGTTTGACATGAATAGAATGCAAGCGATTTTAACATTCATTGTTAAACATTACCTCAACGATTCGCTATGGTTTTATAACATTTAAAAGACAATAGATCTGTTCCAAAAAAAGTGAAAAAGTACAATACAAAAGCACCATTTTTTACACATCAATCAACTGGGGAAAGATTGCCCATATGCTTTTTGAAATTGCCTTTTAATATTTTGTAGTTTAGCCAACAACATAATATTGTCTGTGGTTTAGCTTAGCTAATAAATATACCTATATGAATATAAATACCAATTTTGTGACGAAAACATTCAAAAGCACTGTCTTGGTGTCTAAGTCCATTCTATTTTTAAATTTCATGCCAAACTATAAATAAACAAAACAAATAAAAAAAGTTGCTAAAGAATACTGTTCACCACAAAGGAAATGTATCAAATAAAACGTTTTTGAATTTTACATATTTTCAAGTTATGAAGTCAGTAACTTTTCTTTTTAAATGTAGCACGCTGTATTACATCGGTTATTCCTCCCAATAGTCGATCTCTTGTGAAATGATAAACTTTAGCGGTTTACACAAAGCGAACACGTTAGAGATGTTTTTCATGATGGTCAATCAAATTTTGCAAACAAACAACTCAAATATCTCCAAAACCGTTAACCTGACATCTCTAAAACTGTATCTCATTTGAAAAGGTAGTACATATTAAGACTAGTTTAAATAACCGATAGAACACATAGTGCTTCATTTAAAATAGCTCCAAGTGACGTCTGCATGAAATTAGGGTCGGTTGAAGATACAGCTCTGCCAGTCGACAATAATTTCAACATATAAAAATGTCTTTATGAAATATTTAGCTGTAGGTACTGCAAAATGTGTAAAAAGATTAATTTGAAACGGTTGTTTAAACCTTAAGGTCAATTATTCCATACCACTCATGAGATACCCAGACAAATCGAACATCCTTTTATTTGGTGGGTCTAAAACAGGATTAGTCCCATAAATAAAATATGGTGTTTAATGCTTTTGGACGTAATCTATAAATAGCAGTATAAATCATTCAGGTGGAATTACCGACACTAACCTACTTAAATATTAAAATGCCAAAATGTCAGCTCAGCATCAGTCGAATTTTCCCACTAAATATACATCAAATTAAAAAATGTCTATTAGTCCTTTTATATTTTTACATTTTCATAAAATATTTTGGCTGATGCTATGTTGTTACTTGTTTATATTGGGTAGTTAGTTGGCTCTAAGACAAATTGTACGAAACCCATTCTGTATATGAATCAATGAATGTTAACGTACCAGTTAAAAAAACGTTGAGCCGTCAACAGTGACGGTCGAGAACCTTTTGGGTCGGAAGCGATAATTTTTCCCATGGTCTTTTTTGTCAAGTGTTCTTGTGATCGTAGGTAACTAAAAACAAAAAATGTGCAAAATGAAAAAAAAATTTATACGTTGAGGGTAGGTAATATAAATAAAAGTAAATGGAGTACCGAAAATAATAAAATTTCACCTTTTGCCAGTGAATTGTTTGGCATAATGCCGCCCTTAGTATTAGTCGGAGATATTTCGAGGGCGTGTAACAAATATTTGGGTCTTAAATACAGAAATTGCTGTGGGAGGGGGCGGGGGTGTCATATCCGTGACTATTTCTCAGTATGTGAGAAATTATAATGACGAATGCACAATAAATCGATAGGAATGATAAAAGATTACTACTTTCATAAGGCCATCCATACCCTGGCCAATTCATACCACGACTCCAAGGTATCGGCTAAGTGCAGGTAAAAGTAGTATTGTGCTGTTGACCTGTGTGTTCCATTCAATTACTCAATTTGGCACATGTCCAACAAGTTTTTTTTACTGAAATAAGATACACATTCAGTTATACAGAATATACTGAAAAATCACAGACGACGTACAAATTTAGTGTGCTGATAACGTCACTTTGTAACAATTACAGCACCTAAAGAACATACTTATACATCCAGGAAATTTCGTGAAATTCTTATCACTAATTCTTGTCCGGGCAAGAATTGCGTTTTTTGTAATTTTCATTGCTGATTCCCCATATTCGTATTAAAGGACTACCAATTTCGTTACTCCCAATTGGGGATGCGTAACTTAAGGGTAAGAATTTTGGGAAAATCGGATAAGATATACCCAATGTTCTAAAACAAGATGCATTTTATAGTCATAAGGAATGTAAACTTGGGGACATCTTTAAGGGTAGCTTCCAAACTAAACATTTGGGACCCCATTCATTCGCAAAAATCCTACTTCGTATTGGTAGGAAATATTCAAACTTTATTTAGAATTGTATGTAAAACCATAGTGTAAAGAATAGAATCTTACACTATGGCCCAAGGTGGTTATGAATCCACCCTGGGTGGGCCTCTGTACCGAAATTCTTGTGACGGATGCCACTTTTACTGCGTGATAATGATAATACTGTGGCTCTATATTTACCTATGCGAATATAACAATGTGGGTAAAGTGAGGCAGTTTCACTTTTTTTGTTGTACCTCGCGTGGTTTAATAGCCATTTTAAAATAACGAAAACAATTAATTTTTTGTTTCATTCAAAAATTAGACTAAAAGCATCTCACTGAAGATAATTACATACTCTAATAACATACCTATGGGCCATTGTGTCGTAATAACAAGGTTGTGGAGGCCACTGAGGTAAAAAACAAAAGATAATTGTGATGTTTGCGTTACTTTTTTTGAACTATAAATTATCCATTACAAAGTTTAGAAGTAAACAAGTGAACGACCATCTTTTGGATCTTGTATTTGGTGTGGTACAGAATTACTTTCATATTTTAGTTTAACAAAAAATAATAAAAAAGTTATGTCAACCGATACTGTCTTTAGTTTAAGTTGCGTTTACATTAATATTAATCTGCTCCACTAGAAAAAGTTGAAACTTAAAACCTTCATACGGACAGAAGGAATTGCTATTACCTACTTGTATTTTTCGTGACAAATACGCTAAAAATATACGGATAAACTCAATTAGTAGCAACATAAGTAAGTATTGTAAACGTCGGTATAAGAAATTATCATAATCCAACCAAACTAAGGCTTAGATAAAAATTTATTATAGTAATAACCTTATCCTAGTCTTTTCCATTCTCTGTTTTGCAGAAAAATCACTAAGTAATATCAAAATTTATATTTTCATTTCATTTTTATGCCAGGAAATTTTTGTATCCATGACAGTGGCAGTAACACTTTATCTGAATACTTTTTTTGCCTCCCGTCACTTTAGCAGGCTATTCATAACAATTTCTATGTGACTATCGAAATTTTATATTAAAAACGGCGATTTCGGGAAAAATATCCTTGCAATATAAAACTCGTCCGTCAAATGATACTGCTTGACCGAAAAATAATAAGGTACTTGGCCCCAAAGGATCCTAAAAGTTCAAAAGGATCCAAAAATATTAAGGATGTTCTATAGAAATTCTAGCAATACCGTAAAACGATTGTACTAAGATTGTAAGGCGTAAGTTTTTACTATTTGGTCATTTGCTATGAAGGATACAGCCTTATAATAATCTCCCGGGGAAGATTTTACTGATATACCGTGTAATATGAATGTTGAGAGCTAGCCACAGTTCCGCCATCTTTCCGGTAGTGTAGGAACTTGGACAAGTGATTTTTAAAACGAGTGGCGAACTAAAGAGGTGGGAAGTGGGATAATTGTAATAATTCCAAACATATTTAAAAATCACTCCTTCCTACGCTTAAAGAATGCAACAACGACTTATATCCAAATTTGTATAAATTGATACAGATATTTTGTGTTTTACCTATGACAGTTGCGGAGCAGAGCGCAGCTTTTGAGGTTTAAGGCGCCTTAAATAATTTGGTTGAGGACGACAACTTCAGAAGAGAGGTTACTGGGGTTGGCATTGTTGCATATCCATAGGGACACAAAAATTGGCACGGAAGATTATTATAAATCGTTTTGGTAACAGCGTAACTAGACGCACTGAATTGCTGTTTAAGTAAACTAAATCTTTAGTTCATAATGTTATAAGTTGGTTTCAGGTTTTTATGACGTTTCCTACTGAATTTGGCGTCGTCATAAATGTTAAATTGTTTAAAAACACTAAATGAATACTTTTTTGTACCGCAGGTACCTACAACAAAATTATATATACTTCAATTCAATAATATGTGAGTTAGGAATCATTGCGGTAAGGAACACCGAACGACGTAAATCAGAAAAAGAGGCATTTAGTTCCCATAGTGCATCTAGAGGTACGAACACATAATAAATACATTTTCAGGCGACGACTCGTAAAAAAGCTCAAATGAACAGATTGTTCAGAACAATAGAAGAACAAGGTTCCGCCAGGGAAGTAACACAGAAGAAGATTACGTTCATTTTACATCAGGCAATACGGACATCTGGGTATCAGCAGCCTAATCTTAACAGTATGGTGGCATCTACGCTATCGGCATCGAATGCTCCTCTGTCCACAATATATGTTATCAAGGAAACCCATTTGATTATAACGCTCTGTATATAAGCCCGTGATGCTAAGGCAAACGAGCCACGGTAGACGAATGGCGACGCTATTGGTAGTAGAGACACGTTCATGTTGACAATTTTCATAACCTCGCATTTTAACATAGAATTATAGCTTCAATCTTTTTAATTTTAATATTAATAATTGGGCTATAACCAGAGCTAGATATGTCTGAAGATGCTCCACAGCAACAACGCTATAAACGCAAACGTAAGAAGAATTTCTTAAAAAATGCCAAAGGTTTTGGTAAAAAAGGCATGTACGGAAGGGGAAGTCAGTTGGATGCAGAAACCTATCAATATTTCATACGCATTTTGGACGTGTACAAAGAGGGTTTTCCTTCGGACGAAGAAAAAGGTGAGCCTCCACATGCTTTGGAACCTAACCTCATTTGCTCTTTTAGCCCTGTTTGTAAACAATGTTTTCCAACAAACTGAAGATCAAGAGGTGAACTGTTGTTGTAACCAAGTTGGGTGCCGGGTTATACAAACATTTCTTCCGTTTGCTAGTCAAGAATATCTCGAACGATACATGCGTCTCCTTACATCAGACTTACGGCCACTGTGTGCGGATCCTTTCGCTAGCCATGTTCTTCAGACATTGCTGGAGATAGCATGCCAGAAATCACTAGATAATGAAAATGAAGATTTCAAAGAGCAGTGTAATGCAGCCACAGTGAAGATAAGCAAATTTCTCTTGAATAATTTGGAAGATTATGTTTGGGACACATACGGTAATCATATTATACGAACTGTGTTGAAGAATTTGGGAAATGCAAGTGAAATTAGTGACTATATCTCAATTGTGAAAGACTATGGCAACCGTCTACTAGCGTGGCCACAGTTTCTCGATCTGCCTTATTCAGAGTTAACATCTGGGCTTCTGCAAGTACTGTTAAAATCGTTGCAGAATGTCGATGCTAAACTTCTTGATGCCTACATGAGTAAACTGCTAAATGAGTGCTTTACTAAAGTCAGTAGTGTTGATGATTATCAAGGTAAAAGTTACAATCAACTGCCCGATGCATTTATGTCGAAGCCAGTGATGATGCTGTTAGAGATTTGCCTGGAAGTCGCTTCTCCTAAACTTTACACACAGATCTACGCTAAATGTTTTGTTAATAATTTAGTGAGGCTATCGCTTATTAAGAACACTAATTTTTCTGTACAAAAGCTGCTGGGGAATTGCAAAGAAAAAAGTGAAGTAAATTAAAGTCGATTAAAATTTCTTTATTATTAATCAGTCTAATTACAGTTTGAGGCAATGTTTGATGAGCTTTCAGAAAGTTATAGCACAATCTTGGAATCTGGCCACTCTGGTGTTGTTTTAGCTGTGGGTCAAGGGTGTAAACGTCTTCTGACAAAGCAAGGAAGTTTTGTACAGGTATTGTTGCAAATTACGATGATTTTGAAAGTACAGATAGTGATTGTTTGCAGAATATAATGAAAGTGTATGAATGTTACGAACCAGAGTCACGTCAGTTGAGTATTGTATTGTGTTTGTGCAAGAATTTGAAATATGACGATTTGAACGATCGTAAAGGTGAAGATCTTCAAAGTGCAAAATTAAATTTACATGGCACACTCATGGTTCAATTAATGCTCGAATTTAATAAGCCAATTAAAATTATCAACAGCATTTTGGATATTGACTCGATTGACTTAAGGAAGCTGTTTTGCAATCGTATGGGAAGCCATATTGCCGACATTTATGTGAAAAGTCAATATGTGGGCGAAAAAAGCCGCGATAAATTGTTTAAAAAGTTACAGGTTCGTCTTCTTGATTGTACTAAAATGATTATTTTGGTAAACTATTTTTAGGGCACTTTTCAAGAGTTAGCTGCAGATAAATATGGATCTCGTAGTTTTGAGGCAATCTGGAATGTTACAAGTTTAAAAAATCGGAAAACTATCATGAACGAACTGTCACATAAGGATGGTGCTTGGTCGAATACGCAATTTGGTCGAATTATTTCGGCAAAAGTGAATTTGACCATGTACAAAAGAAATAAAGAGGAATGGAATAATTTCATTTTGAAAGAAGGTAGCAAAAAAGATGTAAAAGAATTATTTACAGACATTTTAGCAAATTAGGTTTTATTGAATAAAAAATAAATAAAATATTGTTTGTTCTTATCTTTTTATTGTGACACCTCCAGCTCTTACTTCTCTATCCTGGATTATCTCTTTGCTGTATCTCTCGCTGTACGTTATTCTAGCCTAGTCTGTTTATGGCATGGGGTAACCAGTGTGATTATTGATCTTTTTGAACTTTGCATTAAAGTAAAAGTGTTGGGATTATTGTATGATGGGCAGAATTCATTAAATCCGACAAAGTCTCCATTAACAATTGAGTTTTGACAACAGTCGCGGCTTGTGACGCATAAATTTAGTGAGACACACTGTAACTAGGGGGGCCTAGAATACTCTCCAAAGATGGTGGTTTGAACACTTTCCACAGATAGCTGCGCCTAGCAAGCACTGAAGGGTACCTAGACTTGGAAAGCGGCAAAACGTAAGGGTTTAGAAAGTTCCGACGTAGAACAGAAACCCCTGGAAAGTGCCTAGGGGCATGAAAGATTCTGAAGAATAAAACCATTGAGTGAAGAAATACAGATAGGATAGAGGCGCAACGCCTATAATAGTAATCGTCGCGAACGTAGGATCTGAGATTTACACAGAGCTTATGGAATCTCAGATCCCGACGGCAAGTTTCTAGTCGGCGTTTCAGTGTGTTGGTTAGAGAAGGTGCAATGAATGCTTAGTAAGAGATAAAAGTGACTACGATTTGTCTTATGGAGATTGCGTCTCTACCTAATTAATTCACTAAACAATAAAACTTTGTAAAGAGCCTAGAATAATGCTCTCAATTCTACAAAATTTGATCTGTGACTTCTTTAAAAACGAACTGAGGGAAGGGAAATCGAATGCTCTAGAATGTTGTTATACACGTTCTTCAAAGCACAGCTGAAGCACAGCTCTAGAAACGCTTTAAAAAAGGCCTAAGTATAACTATAAAACCAATTCATGCATGCATGTGAAATGCAAAGCGAAACTCATTTAAAAAAGTTGTTTTTTAGTCTTTTCGAGAGTAATGGAATGACATTATATAAAGCTGTAAGTACCTAGATGCTTAGGATGCGCCAAAAAGGCACTGTAAATGTTGAATCGATTAGGCATTTCGTATTAGGTATATCGCTAAAGCTATGCCCGATTTGAATGTCATGCAATTCGATTCATAACTAACGGAGATGTCAAAAGGGCCTGCCTTATTTTTCGGCCTACATTGCCAATTCATTAACTCCGATTTAGAATAAAGATAAAGGATAAAGAATCCACTTGCAAAATTTCGTCGTAATCGGTCCATTCGTTCTGTTTTAAATCGATAGACATGCGAAGCCATCAAGCGAGCGAGTGGCGACCGATCGGACGATTGGAAGAAAGCATAAGCGTCTCACCATTGAGTAATTAAATACTAATCCTTCACTCAAAGGTCTCACTGAATAACTCTATTTAAAAATGGTCAGACGCTGTGCGCATGAATCTTAGTTAAGTAATGGCACATTATGTGCAGGCGTAGGGTGCGAGGTAGGGTGTCACTAAGTAGAGTTGGTGGAAGAAATTCGGTCTGCTTCATACTTCCAAACAAAATGTTTTCAGCATCATTGGCGGTCTTGGGTGTTTTGATCAACTTGTTTTGATACAGATTTGAACTAATAAACCAGTTAAACAAACTCTTATGTACTTTTTTTTACTCAGAAGTTATGTAGGTACTTACTTGGAATTGTATCGTACCTTGTATAATAATATTGAACGAGGAATTTTGCAACACTCTTTATGACAGTTTCAGTGAGAGGACCTTTGCGTAGTCAAGAGCATAGTTGGTTTGGTTATTGAGGCAAGCTGACAGGTTGTATCACATCATATATCATATATAATTTTTGGCACGATTTTGGCCCAAATATGTTCACTTCCAGTCTCCTTTTTGACCCTTCACTCGTGTTCTTTGACCCCAATAAACGTGGATCCGAACTGTAAAATTTGGCATTTTAGACGGAGGATACGCCAGAATTGTCCAAAAACCGCCATTGCGCGCCATCTTGAAGATCTCCCTTCCTATCCATTTGCAGATCTAGCAACATGCAGAATCTGATTCAACGGGGTGGATATAAGGAGAAACCACTTGTAACTCAATTGTTACACGAAATATTTCTTGTATGAGCAAGGAGAGCTTTTACTGGAAAGTGGCCCAGACTATATTTATCACTTGCTGTATTTAATGCGCACATGGGGGACTTCTTGAATCTTTTTTAAAGCTGCTAAGAACCTTATTACCTATGTGCACTCCCTAAAACCGTATCATCATCGAACGCTTTGAAAAAGGCGTAGAACGCTTTGGTGGGGTAGGGAGCTTTAACAAACCGATATAGGAAACCCTGCCTAAAGAATTGTGGAAGAAGCTTTGTAAAGCATTGGAACTAAAAAGTTGTAATATCTTCCTGAAAAGCTCCGGAACAGGCCCTATAAAAGCCTTACCAAAGAACGCCTCAAATTACTTAATTACCTCTGATAGAAACCCCAAAATATCAAAGGTTTACATAATAGCTTTTCAGAGACGTTTAGCGCTTTGCATAGGTCATTTTTTAACTACAATTACTCATTATATTAAAGCTATAGTGTTACGTAACGTCCCATATGCTTAGGAGTGAAACATGAAAAAACTGTGTACCAATTGTTTTATGCCACCAATAGTTCTTTGAGAAGTAATTTCTTGTAGTTTTCATGATGTTCACTTTTTAATTGCCACCTGACCCGATCGTATTGGCCTGTTGGAAATGTATAAGTAGGTATTAGAATATTCTATAAAGCACTTACGTAAATGATTTTCCATCAGTGTACATGCGCTTACCAAATCTTCTGGCTTGCAACCCTTTCTAATCGTTGGAGAGAAATACGTATATGGCATCTAACATCTGAAAATACCTTTACTTTTTTACCTGCGACAATTGCGAACATTTTTGATTACCTACCCATAAACGATAATTACAATAAAATTGGGAACGACCCCGTCCTCCTGTACCTATGGCGTCTAACATAAAGCTCCTATGACGATTAATCAATTTCTTACCATATAACAATAATACTGGCCTACTGGTACCTAATGAACACGCAAAATGGATCAATGCATTGGAACCAATCCTCCTTAGGTTTTTGTGTCATAAAGAGAATCATTAGTAGGTATAAGGGTTACATTGCCAAATTGAATACGTACCTATAAGTACATTGCCGTGACAAATCGATACCGCAAGCCAATAGCAGTAGTCGCTGGAAATCAGGCGCCGAGATTTAATTATAGGTACATTATCGGAAATTTTTCACAGAGACCTAGGAGATTCCCAGAAGGATCTCTACATTTTCAGAAAGATCCGTAAATGCACAGAAAAATTTGTAAATCCTTGAAAAGTGCCCATAAAACTTCTTTTATCAAAGTAATAATTCTAGCTAGTATATACAAGCATGAAGATAAGCCTGTAACTTTTTAAACAATTTTTCGCGACGTTTTTCGCCCACATTGCCTCAAAACTACGAGATGCATATTTATCTGCAGCTAACTTTTGAAAAGTGCCCTAAAAAATAGTTTACCAAAGTAATCATTTTAATACAATCAAGAAGACGAACCTGTAACTTTTTAAACAATTTATCGCGACTTTTTTCGCCCAAATATTGACTTTTCACATAAATGTCGGCAATATGGCTTCCCATACGATTGCAAAACAGCTTCCTCCAGTCAATCGAGTGAATATCCAGAATGCTGTTGATAATTTTAATTGGCTTATTAAATTCGAGCATGAATTGAACCATGAGTGTGTCATGTAAATTTAATTTTGCACTTTGAAGATCTTCACCTTTACGATCGTTCAAATCGTCATATTTCAAATTCTTGCACAACACATTACAATACTCATCTGACGTGACTCTGGTTCGTAACATTCCTACACTTTCATTATATTCTGCAAACAATCACTATCTGTACTTTCAAAATCATCGTAATTTTCAACAATATACCTGTACAAAACTTCTTTACTTTGTCAGAAGACGTTTACACCCTTGACCCACAGCTAAAACAACACCCGAGTGGCCAGATTCCAAGATTGTGCTATAACTTTCTGAAAGCTCATCAAACATTGCCTCAAACTGTAATTAGGCTGATTAATAATAAAGAAATATTAATCGACTTTAATTTACTTCACTTTTTCTTTTGCATTTCCCCCAGCATCTTTTGTACAGAAAAATTGGTGTTCTTAATACGTGATAGCCTCACTAAATTATTAACAAAACATTTAGCGTATAGATCTGTGTGTAAAGTATAGGAGAAGCGACTTACACTCATTCAGATTTTCACAATACAATTTTTCGGTCGCACTCAAAAACCATGTGTCAAAAGAAAAGAGAATTTTTAACCTAATATGTGAAATAATTTCAAATAAAAGCGTTCTAATTTTCATGTTTATATTGTCTTGAGCGTGAGAGCTTTGGTTCCATCTTTACTAGCGATGCCGATTTGTAAAAAAAATGGTAGGATATCATAAACAACAGTGTCTAAGGTATCAATAGTGTTTATAATTGAAAACAATACAGCATTAATTGTACTTACTACACATAAATAAATTACTTATGTGAGTGAAAACATTAATGAATAACAATAATTACTTAATACTTATTTGCTATCAACTACCATGTAGCAACAAAAATTTAATTGTGGAATAAGTTACAACAAATTAGACTAGAAATTGTGTACAAAAAAAATAAAGTAGGTACATCGACATCTAGTGTAAGTATCTACATAATGATAGTCTTTGGTATACATCAGGAACAATTAATTAAACGACAATATTAAAAACGTGCGAGAGTCCTCAGTGCCATGCCAGTAACATAACACGCAACTCGATCAATTACTTTTTAGTTTTGCGCAGTTTTCTTGCATGTCACTTTTTGAATTTCACTTGGTCAACGGAATTGATGTGCGCCGTGGTGCTTGGAGTAGCGGAGCGTATGGGGCGGTTTTTTTCTTTCGAACAGGCCTGATGATGGGTTTCCCAATCTTTGTGCTGGCAGAAAGGGCCGCAGTAACGTGCGACGTTACATCCTGAACATGTCTCGTGAGCCTTTCTGCCGCAATTCCAGCAGGACTGTAAGTAGGGAGGTAATTTGTGGTTGGAAATTAGTCTACTTACGCTTTGTTGTGATGTGGCAGATGGGGTGGTTTGTGGTGGGGAGGTACTGTTTTCGACCGGTTCGGTTGTCTGATTTTCGTCAGTCTGCTTTCGTGTTTCTGAAAATTGAACTGAAAATGTTTGAGCGCAAGGGGAACAAAGTACCTAATAATAATTTCTCCATTTTGGCCCTCTCGCTTGCGACCAGTTCAGTTGCTTTTGTTTCGGCAGCTGCTACCGCTTTTTGGAGTTCGACAACAGCTTGTCTTTTCACATCATTTACCGCTTCTTCGGCTCTTCTTCGTACTTCGGCAACACGATCTTCCGTTTGCCTAACCGCTTGTATCATAATTTCGTTAGCGGCCTTTTTTAGATCAGCCCCAACGTCTTGTTTACGTAGCCACTCGTTCGTGATTTCTTGATTATTCCTCTGTTGCAAAATGGAAAGCGCGCGCTTCGTTTTTTCTACCATCGATAAAATACAATTTAGCATTACGTGAATATTTTTCCATTCCTCATCTCCACGATTCGAATTTCGCGAATCGTTATTGAGGATGTCATCTGCGCGATGTTGATTTGTATAGAGATGTCCGTGTTGCGTATAATCAAAAACGTGCGAATTGGAAACGGACGAATTCATATTGGGAAGAAATAGGCTTTGGTGCGCGAACATAAAAGCGTTTTGGGAAGTTAATTGCCGTTTAGCCGGCAAAAAATCTTGAGAGTCTTGATGTGATTGACCGTTTAATCCATTTTCGTATATACTGTTGAAATCGAAAATTCAATTTAGTTTGCTCTTTGATGTATTAATGTATAATTTTGGAGCAATAGGCGAATTAATCGAAAATTTTATTAACAAGTTACTACAAGCAACTCAAGATCATAAATTGCATATTCAGCACACAAACTAATTTCTAAGTTGAACGAAAAATACAGAAATTGATTAACATGACATAAACAAGCATAAATTAACATTTTCGTCCTACAATTTCAAAAGTTTACGTCAGTGTTGTAATTAAAAGGCAAGGAATGCCGTGTAAGTGACGTGTAGGGGATGGGGTAAGTAAAAAGCACGCTGTTCCGACCAGATGGCACCAGAGGCGCCGGGTGTACCCGGCGACCAGAAAGAAACCATTATTCATTTTAATAAAACGGTCGCAAGCAGACTATTGAATATAGTAGATCGACCCCCGGATTCCAGAAATCGCTAAATATTTGTTTCTATTTTGTTTATTGTACAACCAATTTCCCGTTAGGTACACATATTTATTACTGTGACCTAGGAGTATTAGAAATGAGACGATGAATGGAAGTAATTTTTTACTTACCCCTTTTCTGAATCTAACGCGGAAATTATTCTATTGTAGTTTCTTCTAATTACGCGCCAGGCACATTACGAAATGTGTTAATTTCTTAGCAAATGCAACTAATTAGTGGTAATTCATGCCATTACCTACTCAAGCATATGCCTTATATTATTTCATTCTAAAACTTAGAACAAAACATTCATTTTGAGAAAAATCGCTCCAGAAAAATTTCCATGGCTCTTGTAGTATTTTTTGGAAGTATTCATCCCCATAATGTCGTCCCTGGAAAAAGTATTCGGTTCAAAGAAAAGTTGCTCTTGAAGGTTCGCGCATAAAAACCACTCTTCGGAATGTTCTTCCAAATGAGAAATTGCGCCCTTCGGAAAATTCGTCCGTCAAGAACTACACTCAGCGGAAAATTGCACCCTGGGATAAACCATACTCACGCAAACTCACCCTACGGATGTTACTCTCAAAATTAATTGTGCACCCAAGACAATGTAAAAATATTTGCGTTCATGAACGCTCAATCAAACTCTCCTTGGAAATAATTACTAATTTATTTATTGCTAGACTGTCAAATCTCCCCCCATATATTTCTTGGTAAAGAGATGTCACTTGTCAGTCGTGTCAGTCCATGTAAATTCGTCCAAGGAATTCTCGCTTCGTTATGTCACCCCCGGGATGGCCGGAAAATTCTTTCGCCATCGGAATATTTGTCATTAGGGAAACCTGTCCCTTTAATATTCTCGTTAGCGTAAACCTGACCTTAAGGTACATTAATCTCTGATCCTTCTGAAGGCTGCTGCTGGGCAAAGTGGGAAATTGCTTTCCTAAAACCACTCTGGTGGTCTCGAATGACGATGACGAAAGAATATTCATGATAAGAAAAAGTTAACTCTTGAATGGGGATAGTTTGTGTACGTAACATCGGTTGTAGGAAAAGCTGCCCTGAGTACAGTTTCCAGAAAATTTGCCATGTACCTCTTAAATAGCCCTCTACACCTCTACTGTGAAGTATCAACTTCTTGGGAAATTCGTATTTCTTAATTCCGCCCTTGGAAAATCGACGTGTGTAATAATCACGTTCAGGAAGCTCTATCATAATGGAAACTGCCCTCACACGAACTGACTATTAAACTTTTTTAAAGCATAATTCCCAACATTAGAACAAGTATCGTAAAATTTGTCTTGATATATTTTGTACCGAAAATTCGTCTAGGAGGAATTTCACTTTCCACCCGCAACCCCTAGTAGAAATTGCCGTCACAGAGCCTGCTCTAAATTTGTAAAATTGTAAAATTGAAATTATAACTGTATATCTACCGAGGGGTTTCTCACTTCAGTAAATTTGTACATGTATTGCGCAAATCTTAATGATTGCGCTTGATTTCCAACTGATTGCGCGATTTCCAATGATTGCGCTAGCTGTGGATGACTGCACGCTTAGAGCTGGGGATTTACATTGATTGCACGATAGTGGATTGCGCATTCACTGCGCATTGATTGCGCTACTTTATATGCCCAAATAGTGTGTATGAAATATTCTTCTCGAATTATTTTAGAGATAAAGGTCAATTTATGTGTTTTGTAGAAAAAAAATAACAAATCCGTACTTACTATTGTGTTCTATACTCGTCTCGGTTCTATATTATAAATTCAGAAACAGTAAACATTTTAAAATTAAAAACTGTCGCGTTTAGAGAGTCGATAACGCCATATGGAATTATGAGATCAAACAAAAGCGCATGTATTTATCATTAGTGTAAGGTTTATTATTTACTATAAGTAATTATTAAAGGCAAACAATAATAGAGAAATGCAAGAAATTTGTTTGATCTCAAACTGTCATGGCACTGATTTTTTTAAAAGCGCCGGTTTTCAATTATCCGAGTTTGCTAGTTTCAAAACTTAAAAGCTATAGTATGCATCGATTTGTCATTTTTAGCATAACACAACCAAGTTGAGGTAACGCTTATGTGCTCGATGTCCGTCGCGTGACTGTCTATCTGTTTCATCGAGATCTCGACTTTGGGTTTTCCCTAATTGATAGCTGCTATGGTCTATATTCGCTCATTATTTATCATTTACAGTTGAGTTACGTGGCAACACCCACGAGTGGGTTTTAAAACATTTGCTTCGCTAAAAAAAACCAATTGGACTTTATCTCTAAAATAATTAGGGAAACCGACAATCGGAAATTAAAACATTGCTATTGAAATTCCTATTGTGCATTGTTCAGTCACCACCCGGTATGTAAAAATCCCTAAATCGCTTCTTGGCGATTTATAATAACTTTCCAGGAATATTCAGGAATTGAGTGGGAAATTTGCATAAATATTTAAAGAAACAACATAGTATTTTTTAGAATTCAAGAAAATAAGTCAACCTCATAATGTAAAAGCATATAATGTGTACATATATGCCATATACAAGGAATATTCTGAATTCCAAACTAATAATTTTAATATTTGTTCTTATTTTTTTTATTTATTTGACTTCTGATAGACTTCAGAATACCGTTTCTGAATTGCAGCTTTTTGGCTTTTACTAAATTGAAAAGAGCCGCTTTCTAACAAATGCACTGGTCCATAAAAGATAAATCCTTTTTCTATATACTGTAAATCTTCTTTCCTTGGCCAAATATAATTATCATTCCTTGTACGTAACGTCTAATACGAAATTGTTACAAGTCTTACATGACGTTGTGAATATTGCCCTTGGGTACCTATCTAAATGTATATCATTAAATTTCGTGGATGTCGTAGATTACAAAATGATTTCGCTGATTGCGCAGCGATTGCACAACGATTGCGCAATTGCGCTTCGATTCCTCAGATTGCGCTTCGATTTCGCAGATTGCGCTTCGATTTCGCGGATTGCACAAGGATTTCGCAGATTGCGCTGACTGCACAACGCATAGTGTACACGTATTGCGCAAGTGAATAACCCCTCGATATCTACGTAACTCGCTGATTGCATAATGATCCGACTGACAAATTTGACACTGAAAGTTCGTCCTTTAGTAAATCTGACCTAATATTTCCGGTCACGATATGCAGTCCAGTAATATTCGTCCCCGGAAATCCACCCTTGGACTATCACCCTCATAATATCCGTATGCTCCCCGGAATATTCTTCACATCTCTCAAGAAGACTCTTAAGTAATTCTCAAGTGTCAATGCAGAACAATTGATCACTCTAAGTGTAAAAAATTCTTCTGAAGAGAAAGCGGTCAAAAATTTGCACATTAACAAGAAAATATTACATGAAAATATCTCCCCTAAGAACCAACACTGCAAGGATAATTCACGCTCCAGCTTAAAAGCAATCGCACGATGGTACGGTCACTTGCTCTCAAAGAGATTGCTATATCCTCAATTTAGACCTTTCTAGTAATAAATCAGTTCAAACTTAGAATTAAAATGGTAAACTATAACACTTTGATTGTGGGAAATTTCGCACCGAAAATTTTACCGTAGGAAATTCACCCTGAATAAATATGGCCTCCGAATATATCCGAACGCAATATTTACTCCGGTAGTATTCGGGAAGTTCATCCTCCTCCCCCGAGAATACCCGCGAATGGGGAGGATTCACGTTCTTGGAACACTTGACTTAAAGAAAAATTAACCTAAAAAAACCCTTGGTATCTACCTATAATCACTTAATTCCGCGTTTGTTAATACAGAAGAGTTGCGAACGATTAATCCGGCCCCTTCACAAATAACTGCTTCCAGAAAATTTGTCTACCTTTAACAAATTTGTTCAAACACAAAAAAATTTACTCCCAAACAATGTCACCGTTAGAATATCTTCCCTAAGGACCAACCCCGCAAAAAATTCACGTTCTGAAACCTTCACCTTCAGATAAAATACCCCGTCAAGGAAAAACTCGCTCCGGGAAATCACTCGCGCAATCTAAAAAGCGTTCTTGTAATTTGTAATTTGTATAAAGAATCTGATTTAGGAGAAATTTACGTAATTATTTAAACTAGACTGAATGCCGTCAAAAGTAATTTATGTAAAAAGCGTTTAGCATTGATTTACCGCTGTCTCTCGTAATAACTTTTCCAATACATTTAAATTATGCACCAAAGGCAAAAATGCTTGTGTATGTCAGGTTTTGAAATAACATGCTTTGATTAATTATGAAACAATCGTTACCTGTCCGATGATCTCCTTTTAATACCGCTTGTCAATTGCGTGTCGTTTGGTAAAAATATTTCTGATGGTTCTGTTGGAGAGTGCGTTGAATCTAAGACTACGTGCTCATGAGTTCGTACGTACTGAAGTGACGACTAAACAATAGAAATCATGAGTATGTGCCATTGTTCTACTCATATAGCAAGTGTAGATTTGTTCAGGGAGAAAGTTCCAAGATTAATTTATGCAAATTGATAAAGAAAACTAATAAATCGTGAAAAATTCAATAATGAAATCAGTGCAGCCGAATACAAATCAAAAAATAATTGTAAAAGTTTTTCTGTCGTTTCTACGATTTTATGGTCTCTTAACTTTTATTATTGTTTTACTTTGACCTTCTCTGTAACATGTGGATTTTACAATTATTACCACTTTTTTAAAACTCTCTTATAAAGTTTTATACCTGTTTGTTGGCCCGCGCCAGCGCGTGGATTTCTCTTTGAAGCAGCGGAAGGTGGGCTCTTAGGAAGGGCAGAACAAAAGGTCTCAAAGGAAAATTTGTTACTTCTTGTAAGGAATGATGAAACTCTTCTACACTTAAATTTGCGCTCTGTAATAAAATCGCTCTTAGAGGTGGTGGATTTGGAAAGATTAACGCGAAACTTACTACTAAATTTAACACGAGACTTCGCACTCTTTCTCCAACATCCGAATTTATCTCGCTACCAAATTGTACGAGGGTATTTAGAAATCTTTTAACTTTAAGTAATGACCGAGTAATGCATGTCGCGGCCCCTCCGTGACCGCTATATTGGTGTGGTTGATTTGCGTCTAAACTGACTGTAAGTGCCGCCGAACCAAGGGGAGGTGTTATGCTGTCAGTAGATCCATTATTTATTGGTGATGAACCGCCGTTTGTTGGTTGACGTGAAGGTGACGATTGGCTTGGTGATACTGGTTGATTTATACGTGCTCCCTCAGGAGAATCTGGTGTTTTACACCTGTCCTTTGTGCAACCTACAACAAAAGAAAACTATTAATATTTGTTGTGTGAAGGTGTAACAAAATGAAGGCAAAAAATTATATTTTATATTACCAATAAGTGAGAAGGAACTAAAATTACCTCGGATCTAGATATAAGTTTCTCTCGTTTTGATAGGTTGCGATCCAGTTCGTACTTCAAATGATTACTATTACTTAGGAAGAAGGAAGGAAGGAAAAATATACCGATATCAAAAGATCCGTGACTTTGGCAATACCAATTCAAGAAACCATAAAAGTGCTATTTATCGCTGCCGATAAACATTCGTGTGCTATTCAATTGATCGAGATATTAAAAAGAATTAGTAGCAAAGAATTTTGTGCTATTTTATGGCAGACCATAACAAACTTTGTACTCTTGTACAGAGCGACAAATCGACAAAGGCATACTCACGCAAAACGTTGTGTTAATGCTATTTATTGTTGAGGATTATAATTTTGTGCTCTTATACAGATCGATAAAACAACATTAGTACAGCTAAATTCCCGCTCTCGTAATAATTTGTTTTGCTACTGCCGCATAATTTTATGCTGATTTTATGCTGGTTATTTGAAAGGATAAAAAATTCTGTTCACGTTCATTGGCGGAATTGGGAAAAATGTCCCTTATCAATCTCTTAGGATACATATATAATACTACTCTTTTGTTATTTATTAAAACAAAAACATTTTCATAAAATTATATATCAAGCCAAGTTCATTTTTTATTGCAATTCATCAATTTGGAGCTTGGAGTCTAAGTTCTATCACATTTTGGGGCACAGATAGTTATCGGATATTGTTCCTGTTAGTATGATTCATAATTTTATTATCTTCGTAGAGTATACTTGAAATAACTGAAATGACCCAAAATGACAAATTGCATGAGTGAAGGATGTCAAGTGGCCGCCAAAAACTTCGGCTTAAAAATGAACCAAAATGTACCTGATTTAATGCACCTCAATGTATCAAAACCCGTTCCCACTGTACTCTTGGCGTATTCCGGTTCCAAAAAATCACTGCCAACATACAAACACCGAAAACATTTTGAATGAATCCTAAAACTATTAATGTATTTTCTTCAGTATTCAATTTTCTATCGTTGCCTTTTTCGAAAAGTCTGTTTCAAAAAAATCACGCGAGCTACTGCAAAATTATGAATAGAACTCAATGTATCAACACCTTCCATTGTATATTTATCTTTTTCGGTTTTGAAAGATTACGGTCAACCTCACCAGGGAACCGAAAATATGCCCTTATGTCCTTCGCTGCTGAAGGCACCTCCTTAAAAATCAAAATCATCAGTGTCACCGAACTACACGAGATCATACCAAAAATTATTATTATATTAGTTCAAGCTCAATGTCATAAATTATTCGATAATGTAAAATTGTAAATCAACAGCGAGGTTCGCTGCTGCAACATTTGCAGAAATATGGGCAAAAACGAACTAAAATCTGGGTAATGACATTTTTATATCACTTCCGGTTTGATAGTAAGTAACGCCAAATTTCGAAATTTAAGTGGTACACCCTGTAAATTTTGATATTTTTGGATTCTATACTCTGCACTAATTATACTACAAAGATTTTTCCTAAATTATACAATAACAATAATTTTAAACAACTGTGAAATTAGCAAAATTTGTTTTATACTTTTAAGCCAATTTTCAAATAGAATCACAGTAGATCATCCGAGTATTTTCAAGCTCCCTATATATATTTTGAAAATGGTTACATTCATTTGTTAATCTACGTTTTCATAAAAAAAAGGGAAATAGTTTTGTTAACGTTGGTTAGGTAACCTCGCGTAAATTGGCGAAAACATCATATCAGGTGTAAAATTCTTCGTAGAATTCAAAAATGTAAAAATATACCGGGGGTACGACTAATTAGAGTATTCAACTCGCTTTCCTTCATAATATCACCCACGAAAATTTTATTTTCCTTCCTCCAATTCTATCAAAGTTACAGAGTGAGCCTTTACATACTGCACACTGGACAACTGAACTTTGCAATCGCTTATTGGGGTCCAAAGATTGCTTCCAGAGCGTCTACGGTGAATTTTTTGTCCAATAAGCTTAAACAAGTTTCCCTTGAGATAATTCACTTATAGGTTCCTCTATTTTGAGGCTTCCGAGAGTCTTTGATACTTGCAAACTACCACAAAATACACAATGGAGTGCGAAAACTGTAGTTGGTCTGCAGACTTGGATAACAAATGGGACATAAAGATGCATTGTAACAATCACTACGGAGTTTCCTCGTATACAGGCGAACAAATGGACGAACAAAACTGGCACGCAAGGGGATAGGGGACGTTTCTTCCTTTCGAAAAAAATTCATAAAGACCGCAGCTTTCTGCATGGTGGAAATGAAAATTCTTGGACGGACTGATGGAGTTACGTAACTGTAACTTTAATGGAAATATAACGAACGATATTGTACGTGACCCAGAAGTAATATTTTCGTAAATATCAGCCCCTTATTAGAACGGTTTCAAACGCAGACTGAAATATTCCTATGATTCATAACAATGATGATATCGACATGCTTCCCATACAGTGACTTCAAAGAAAGTGGAAGAAGGAGCAGCTATAATAAGAGTACCCTCTAAATGTAGTCACAGACAGAAAAATATTTGGTGCACTGCCGCAATTTTGTTAACAATTTTAAATGAAACGGCAATGATTTGAAAATTGATCCTTTAAATATTACACGCCACTGACGCAAACGCTTCAATTTGAAAACCTTCTTTTGCGAGTTTGAGATAAGCAGACAGGGGAAACTGATCTCGGCGACCTATGCGATAAGCCTACAGGTTACACGTATTCCAATGCCTAATTAACGCTTTATTTCTAGTTGCGCGTTCAAAGCGGTTACAGTGTTTTGATTGTCCTCCCGTGGTGGTTCGAGACGAAACCTATAAAGGGTGAGTTTTTGATTTATTATTTTATTAGGGTCTCAAAAACTAGAAACATGGCCATTAAATTTCACCTAAAAATTCGATCACAGTGACTGAAGTGCAATATCCATCTTCCTTTATGAATCATCCAAGACATTCAAAAATTTACCGTTCTTTAAATCAATCGCGTCCCTATGGTCTGTTAACGCCGAGGAAATAATAATTCAGAATATGGTTATTTTGCTCTTTACTGAATTTTATACGGAGTGACGTAAAGACCAAAAAACCAATTCTTGATCATACAGTCAAGTTAAAAACATCAAAAGTGTAGGTATGCGAGTCTAATTTTTCTTCCTATTTAGAATTAGCCGACTGTATTTTCGCACATATGTTTGGGCTTAGTCATCTGCACCTGGGTCCTTAACATCGATTTGATTTCTTTCTAAAAAACGTTCTTATTTTACGTGACCTGTTTCTACGTAATATAATAGTCCGTTAGACGTGGTTGGGATTTTGGCGATAATTAACAATTGCAATTCTCTCATTTTGATCACCTGTTAGGCGTGCGAAGACCCAGGTTTCTTTCGATTTTCGATTACGAAAAGAGGTGGTAAAACATGGTTTAGGTGGTAAGCACCACATTCTAAAATCTAAATAATACTATTCGAAACTTTATTTTTATTATTTATCTCTGAATGAAATTTCCAACTGTGTAATCGCAACGACACATGTTCTATACCTGGGCACGAACTTATCTATTTTATTTCTTTGGCGAAATTATTCTTACATTACGCATAACTGTGATATTTTTAAAGTGAAACAAATAGTACTTCCTGTGTAGATCGATTAATTATTTGATTTAAACAATTTCCAGACGCTCGAGAGTTTTAGCACCATTCACCCGATAATTGCTTCAATTTTTTTCCCTTTTATCGTACGAAAACCTAGCTATGTTTGGATTTTGAATTATGCAAAAGGCATGATTGCGGTATACTCAACATCATAAATTGTATTTCTTACAAAAAACACGTTATAACTTCAACAAAAATTGACTAGAAACACTGGGGTCGAGAATTTTGTAGGGAATGCTTTCTTAAATTTGGGGTTGGAAGCATAGGTGCGGTTTCTAAAGACAATTGCCTCCTCCTTATAAATACGGTATAAAATTAAAATTTATTCTTAAGATGCATAAGATACGTGGTTTTGGTAAGCATAACACCCCAATCGCCCCTGTTTATGATGTTATTAGCTTAAGGGCGCTATTCTCATGATAAGAACGATGCCAGTTTATGTGAGAAAATTGATTTGAAATTTTGGCAGTGGCCAAACATTTTGGAAATGAAATTATTTTTCTCGAGTAGCATTATTTGGACCTTTAGGATTAATGCCCATCGATTTCACAGTTTTCACTATACTTCGTAATATACTATATTTGCCTTCATAGATAATGTTGTTGTCAGTTGTGTTCGGATCGGATTTAGTTTGTAGATCCTATAATTAGGTAGATATAATTTGTGTGAACATAAAAGACACAGCCTCTTCCTCGGTGATTTTTTGAACGGTAAAAATGAAACATGTTTTTTCCTCGGTTTTTTCTACTGTATTTGCGGTCACTCTGAACAGGATTATATCATGAATTAGTTGGAATTTTCTATTGGGGATTGTGATTTTATAAACATCTGATGTCTGTGATGTAATCTCCCTATAATTGGCAGAAAGAAGCTTCTCTTTTCCATTAACCTGCTTTAAGATCTGTTATTCACAATTGAATGTAGTACCTAGACTATTATATTGACGTGATGTGATTGGTTTTTAGTTTTGCAACGTACTTAGCAGCTAGGAATTGGAATTTCCCTGAGGAGAGTTCTAGTCTATTTATCGTGTACCTACCAATTAACGAGTTAAGTGGCCGATGAACTATTTCGCTTAGTACGCTATTAAAGGTTCTGAAGTCTTTTTGGGCACTATAAACACAAATGTCATTGGCATATCTAGGGTGTAAGGATTAAATAGCGAAGTACTTGGAGTACTGCCCCATACCATTCTTAATCAAATTCCTTTCTTATCATGACTTCTAACATAGATGAGTCGCT